TTCCGATACCCCGCCAGGCTCGACTACCTTTGTATCGGTACGTTAGTCGAAGTCACATTCCCGCCGACGAGCACGTCGAGTCATAGATCCATAGAGCCATGGAGCCGCCAAGTCGAGATAGTCAGCGAACTTCGTTAGCAACGTCGCAAATTGAGAACATTCCCGAACACGTCTTACTTTGTTTCTTTACCATCTTGATCCCAGTCTCCTGCGTTCCAATAGCGCGCTCATATTCTTTAGCAATATGTCTCTACAGCATGGGTTTGCGCCATTTGAGGTGTCTCATGGCACCCTTGACATCACCCCTAGTGGGGCTTTTACCAAGGGCGTGTTTGTGTCCAAGGCATCATTAGATCCTCGCTGGAGTACTCCTTTGTCGAGTCTGGGGCTGTTAAGATTCATATAAGATATGGCATCATCTGCCTTCATGCCAGCAGTTCTGGTTGTGTGTCCATCTTCGGCCATAGTCTCTTCGTGGGCATTCTCTGTCACTGCCATTCCTTTCCACATATCTTAAATCTGCTTCCCAGCGTTCTTGAGTCTGGTCAGGCATTTGCCTAAAATTCTCCATCTTTACATCAAGCATTCTTGTCGTTCGTTGGACGATTCTTCACGATGCAGCTCCCACGGTCAGTCTTGCCATCTCAGAAGTATGCCCAATCGTCCGATTACGCATTCGAGAATCATCATGAGGGAATGCCGTCCACGTCGACACGGCAACCTTTGGGTGAATCAAATGTGAACATCCAGGCTCATGGCCTCCCTGTCTCGGCTGACTTCTGTTATAATCAATTCTCTCTACCACCATCTATTCATTCTATCCCAGCCCCCCCTATACTGCCGACTCAAGCCTTGACCCCGATTTATGGCACTAGCCTTCGGAGTGAGCGTACTCTACACCGGAATGTATCATTACGAGACTTATCAGCCGGTGATCGAAGGGTTAGGAAAAACCCGATATATCACCACAAGAACTTTGCGGACTACCGTAACAAGGTCCTGCAGAAGGAACGTGACGAAGAGAATCCTGTCTGGCCGGACTGGCTGGAAGTTGCTTTTCTCGATGGTACGTACATATTGAACATTGCTTACAACCAGAAGGACAATGTATTAACAGGTCAACGTAGCTCTTCTCCTGATTCCCCAGCTCGGCCGGAAGAAATTCAGTGCCAACACAGTCCTGTATGGCCGGAATATGTTAATCACGGAATATCTATGGATCTATCACTGGACACTCCACCCGCCCGCAGAGGGCGAAGTAATCCCAAATAGAAAGGAGAGAGAAAAGTCGAGAGGCACCCGTGGACACCCCATGTTCAGGTCAAGGAAGCAAGTATCAAGTCATATCCAAGTCTTGAAAGGATTCTTCCCTACGCTTCCCACATGTAAGCTTGACCGTTCCATCTACAAACTATCACTCGCTAATCATCCGCTTTGACTAGTTCACTTTGTCTTTCCGAGGCAGAAGGATGGACTGGATGACGATCGAAAGGCCGTCAAAGAAGACGTCGATACCGAATCATTCAAGAACAACCGTGTGCTCATCTCTATCACTAATGGGCGATTGCCAGACGAAAAGCCTAATTATGAGTACTTCAAGCGGCTACTAAATGCTGAGAATGATGTGTTCATCCGACCCAAGACGTGCTGGATCTTTGTATCCTCGTCGAAGGTAACCCTCAAAGAGCGACTTGTCGCGTCAGATGATGGTACGATGAAAAAGCAGCTCACCGGGAAGCATCCAGATGGCTTATGCTTGACGGAGGAAGACTACCCGCATCTGAATCTCAATGAGGGCAAGGACTGCAAAGAGCTCTCACGTCGGGGAGGTCGCCCTGTTGTATTGCTACATGAATACACGCGAACATTGGCTCAAAAGGAGTCTTCCTCGGTCAAAGATATCTCCAACAAATGGGATGTCAGGTTCCCTGATCTGCGACACAAGCTCACTACTGCTCTCGAAGATACTCGCCCATCTGATGAGCGGACTTCCCGCTGCGTTGTTGGGCCTTGTGATACTTTTCACTTCGAGACTATAATCGATTTACATTCGACTTCCAAGTTTCCGTCCGGTTCCGACATGAATGGACTTGTTGAATTTTCCATCAACAGACCCGATCTCCATAGCCATATCTGGCGGTCTAGGACATGTGTTATCAAGCCTGGAGAGCTGTACATGCCAGAAGAGGAGGACATCTGGGAGCAAAACAACCCAATCGAGGTGACGCCTTCTCATCGCTCGGGCTGCAGCGGAATTGGTCGTTGTGACTGCGTCGCCCGTGGCAATCGCGACAGCATTTCCATCCCCTTTCCCGCTAGTAGCTGGGCCAACACATTCATCAAGCTGGCACCTTTTGTGACAGCTGAGAAAGAAAGAAAAGACCAGCAGGAGGCGGCGACGTCTCAGAATGGTCGGACGGACCGTGAAGCAAGCCGCGCGAAGAAGGATAAAGCAGACTCATCATCTGAACCTCCGTCGAAAGTGCCTAGCCCCAAAGATCTCCTCGCCCAAGTTGCTATGTACCAAGAAATATGGTCCGCACCTCAAGGCGAAGTGGCCAACGGAAACGGCGACGAAGACTCCATTCCCAAGCGGAGTCGAGGGAAATGGACTCGCCGAGCCGTGGTTCTATGGACTTTTGTGCCGGTGTATGAGACCACCGATGACAAAGGCAAGACGACAGCTGTGCCCCCCGGTACTAACTGGCGCTTTCTTACGAAAGTTGACCCTACATCGTCATACCACCAACAACGGGCATATGTTTCTGGATCGTCAAGAGCTATGGCACGCACTAGCATGATGAGCCCGGATTCTGAGTATGCTCAGCATATCAATACTGCCATGCATGAGAATATGAGCGCTGCCTACGATGCCAGTCCAACGACAGCGTTTACACTGCCGAGTCATACTCACGGTCAAATCCACCATATACCGCAGCAGACAGATCAGCTTACAGAATTAAACGAGGTCTTCGAAGGGTACTCCAACGGACTCACCACCCCGCCGCTCAGTGCACCGCTGCCAAACGGCTACTCTCGCGCTTTTGATAATAACCATATTAACATCGACTCGAGCCATACGCTGCACCATCGTATGAGTTTCATGTCGGATCGGACGAGCGGCACAAATACCACGGATCATACGCACGCCAGCTTTCCCGCTGGCAGCGATCCGAACCACCATAACGAGCCCTTCATGTCGGGTCTTGATGTTCCCGGTTATATACCCAACTTCCAGCCGCCGTCATCTACAGACGCGCTAGGTCAGCTCAATCATCGTTATATGGATGCTGGTCAGGGGATATCGGATGCCAGTGTAGGAGATTGGGTGAGCACGAACGTTTCTCCGACGTCGAGTACGGCGGGTCAACAATGGGCCACCGCAGCTGTTGCCGCGGCTACCGCGGGTAACACGCAACACCAAGGTTTGGGCGAGTCACACGCGGACCTGAGCGCCGCCGGCGGTGTAGAAAACCAAGGCACGTGGAACACATGGCAGGGGACGGAAGTCCCCTGTATCCCACCGAGTTACAGTCGTGGGACGTCCGGCAGTATGTGGGACGAGGGGACGCCAGAGATCAACGAAGGCGAGAACACATCATCGTCTTTTACTCTAGGAGGTACGGGAATGACATCTTTGCGGAATCATAAACATATGCATCATCCACCATTACACGGACTCCCCTTGGCTTCGCAGGCTACACAGCGAAGAAGTTCCCCGACGCTTCCTAGCCGTAAGAGATCGCGGACAGAAAGCGCTGGACTTGATGTGGATGGTGATGGGGAGGAGGGTGAGCGGTATCATGCCCATTCTGTACGCAAGCTTTCGCATCAAGCGACTTCGAATGCGAGTTCCGCTTTTGCTGGAGGTGGAGGTGGAGGTGGAGGTGGAAGTGGAAGTGCGCCTACGGCTGTCATGGGGGAGGTATCTGCAAATCTCCCGTGATGAGGGCATTTCACGACAGTGTGGGCTCTGTATCACGATTTGCCTTTGACTCGGGCCTGTTGGAGCTTACCTAGGCATTTCCGTTCGGTGGGCATGCAAGACTGTGTTCATTCATCCTTGGGGTGACCTGAAGAATGGTGATTTTCAACTCTTTTTTCATCATTAGTCTCTTTGGTGTGTTTTCTCTTATTCATCATAATCGGTCATCATAAAGGGGGGTGGTGGGTGTAAGGCCGGGCGGTGTATTTCTTTCTGCACAAGTCGGGCTTACTTTCCCAGAATTTCGGCGGAATTGTCGGTTGAATTGGAGTTTTGGAATATTGCCTCTATGATTACGGGATGTAAGGGATTCGAGATAGGCAACGGGCGGTGAATTTCTTTCTCGTTTTCTTCTTTTCTCGTTGGGTATTCCAATTTGGATTGAATTCGATCTTCTCTTGAGATATAGGTCCCATTGGATCGGATGAGTTGGCTAATGGTTAAGTTGATTAATTCATTCGGCTTTATCATTGCGAGTTGGCATTACTGGTTGATTAGGGAACTGGCTTGAGGTCTGGATAGAAATCTCCTAGCTAGGAATGCGTAGTCTTCAAGACAATGTCTGGAACAGACCATTTTGTGTTGATGATTCTTGGATCGATCGATGCGTGAGACATTATTGCGAGTGATCTCGGCGGTTAACTGCCATGTCACACTGGTTGGTGGCAGATCTCACAGTTATCTTGCCGGTGCTCATTTAACTCTACTGTGACTGTCGGATACTCAAACCACGATGCGCGAGAAAAAATCACGCAGACATCATTCACCAGCTTCATTGTCATCACCCTGATACAGTATGCGTTGCACGGTGACTGTTGAATGTACCTATTTCTGCCAAGACAACGTGCATCGCATGTTAGCCCCTCAAGTACTCCGTCCCCCGTATCTCAATCTACACGGTACTGGAGCTATTAGATAAGTGTAGATAAGAGAAAAAAAAACAAAAAAAAGAAGACTTCCCCCGGAAACGAAGCTAATCGAATAACTCCGTTTAGCAAATTATGGCACAAGGAATTGAACCCAACCCGATTTGAACGGATGACCTTCTGGATGCTGTTTCCAAGCTGGAGAATCTAGCTGGAATCAGATGCTCTACCGCTGAGCTATGGGTCCCATGATTTGCTTTGGGGTGAAGCTGAGTTGGAAGGTCTGCTGGTGTTTGCCGTCTTCTAGTCTTCTACTCACTACTTTGTCAGTGTCGGTACATTTACAATCATGCGCGCGCTTTTGCACCGACTGACTCAAAAATGTCTCATGGTCTGATTCTCTCTCTCACTCATTCACTTCATTGTTGATCTTTATTCTGTTCGGTTCGTGGATACTGAGGTAAGTAAGGTATTTTACAAGTACGTATACCTACTACCTACACCTACACCTGATGTGAATGTGTCCATCTCCATCTCCATTGCCGCTGCTCTTTAATTTATGACGATGATGATGACGATGATAATGATACTCTCAGCTGAGGGATGCACTCAACCGTCTTTTCTTAACCGGCAGCCACGTGGACCTCTACTCGCCCGGTGCCTGTATTCCGGTATTTAATGTACGCGAGGTCGAGCACGTCGTTGCCGCTCCAGTTCACCAGACTCCACACGCCGTTCGCCTCCTGGCCGAACGCGCTGCCGCCCTCGAAGATGCGCGTCTGGTAGCGCGAGTCCTGCGATGCGACGTGGACCTCGGTGCGGCCGGTGCCCGTGCGCGCGTCCTTGATGTAAACGAGATCGGCGGCGCCGGGACGCGAGTACGCGGCCAGCGACCAGAACCCGTTGTTCTCGGGCAGGAAGGTCGTGCCGGTCTGCAGGATGAACTGGCTGTAGCCCGACGCGGCGGACGCGACGTGCACCTCGACGCGGCCCGTGCCGGTGTTGCGCGTCTTGATGTACACGAGGTCGGGCCGGCCGTCGCCGTCGTAGTCGTAGAGACTCCAGACGCCGTTGTTCTCGTTGCGGAAGACTGTCGGTGTCTCCAGCGTGCGGGTGCGGTAGTTGGAGGCTCCCGATGCTATGTGTACTTCTACCCGGCCGGACGGGGTGTTTGCCGTCTTGATGAAGGCGAGGTCGGGCAGGCTGCTGTCGCCTGAGGGGATGAGGAGCCAGGTGCCGTCTGTTTCTTCGCCGAACGTGCTGCCTGCTTCGAAGATGCGGGTTTGGTAGTTGGAGGATGAGGAGGCTATGTGTACCTCTACCGAATTGGTTCCCGTGAGCCGTGTCTTGATGTATGCGAGGTCCGAGACGCTACCGCTGCTTTGCGCGCTGTTTTTGGGGGGGAGCGAGGAGAGAGGGAGAACGTTAGTAAGTCAGTCCTCATCTTATGCGATCAATGCTTTGTATACGTACTCGACAAACTGCCATACTCCGTTGTTTTCGGGGTAAAACGTCGTCCCGGTCTGGCGGATTATCTGCTGGTACGGGGCTTGACGTGTCTCAATTGCCTTCGCCTCAGGGTCGAGGGCCAGAGCCAGAACGGGCGTGGCGAGATAGAGAGATGAGAGACATCCCACAGATGGGAAGAGCCGTGCCAGGTACACCATGTTGAGCGTCTAGCTTCACCGGTAACTAAGTTGCGAGTTTGAGGGAGTCGATGGCGCTGTCGAGGTAGGTAGAATTTTACGCGAAAAGTCGAAGCTCTTATGGATCGTTCACTCACCGCCTACAGGGACCTTCAGGTCTCAAAACAATACGAATGCCGAGGTCGTCAGCATGTGTGAAGGCTCCCTCTTCCTTTGCATGCTTGGCCATGCTGCTTCGATCATCATCATTGTCCAGCCCTAACTGAGCTCGTCAAAGCCGACATGGTGTTCTTGGAGACCGATGAGCTACGTACATCGATGATCGAGCTTGACCTAGTCCGTAAAGTCCTACAGAGGTTATTCAGCCCGCCTCTAGACTCAATGCCGATCTCTTCGGCTCATATCCGGGGAGAATTGGGGCTCTATTCTGGGGTCAATGCCGTCATATGATGAATGTGAAAGTGTGACGGCATGCAGTCTATATTGACGTCTAGAACGCTGTTTTACCTCTGTCGATGTTGAGTCGGATTGGGTTGTGCATGTCGGTAGATATAATGCATATCCTATTCGGAAAAGGAGGGTCACCGAGTGCCTTGGAAGGATTGGTATTGGCAATATATATGTTCCTTCATTGCTACCTTACCTATGAAAGCTTACGAATAGCTATTCACCTCCCAGATAAACCTGGTTGTCTAACCTTAATGCTCAATCGCAGAATATCTACCATATTACGAGCTAGGAGCGTAATAGTTAAGAGTATATTCACAGCGAGAGAAGAATGTGCGAACATTTTGACAATCTCCTGGTTTCCGCAAGCCACACCATAACGGTTAATGCTAATTACCTACTACCCATGCTCGGCCTATTTGCGGGTTATTTTCAAGGAATACCTATATATCTATCTATCTACATAGTCACAAGTCCATCATTGTACGTAACAAAGGCGAACCAGATCCATCATTCGTCTCTCGGAGTATCCTCGCCAACGGCTGATTGGGGAGAACGATATCTAGGGTACGATGCACTTGGCCCGCATGCGGACTGTGTACGTTCTCGACCTGTTTATCCCTCCGAGCTTATTCTGTCGGTCTTACGCCATGTGACCTTGTGGGTAATTCTGGAGAACGAAGCCGGGGTGGGGGGGGAATATATATTGCTTTTTTTCTTTTTTTCTTTTCGCGTATGTATGTAGGTATAGCTTTGCAGGAGCTGATTTGCTGACTGCTTCGAATACAGTCCAATGGTAAGCAAAGCAAGTGCCGAGCATGGTGTGGTGTGGACGGCATAGCTAGGTAGGGAGGGAGGGCCATGTTTCTTTCCTCTTCTTGCATGAGAGAGAACCTCGAGAATTCTATTTCCAATTATCTAAGGTTACCTATCTACATACCTAACCTACAGGCTACCTTATAGGCTATGCATGTATGTATGTGCCTTGCGTGTGATGAGGTGTTTACCCTGCCTATGGCATGCCTACAGTCTTACTTTGCTGGCCCGATGATTTGTCATTGTCGTCGCAGCTGGCCGATATTGTCTCAGGTTACTGCTTATTTAGGTTGACATCTCGCGAGTTCTGAATAGGCCCATCCCTGTATCACGCGGTATACCTGGTAATTGGTAATCATGATAGATTCGGGAGATCGACCGATCTGTCTACGTATTTCTACACGATGTAAAGGGCCCGGCGGGGGGGTTTGGGGGGGGTATATCTGGTCGTGCGGCTGAGGCTCGGCAATATCTTGTTGGTGGCCCTGGGGACCGCAAGGGACAGTATACCTATGATTGGGTATAATGTGTTTACCCGCTTGCCTGACTGACTCTATTCAAAGCATCAGGCCATCAATTGGATCCTCTTCCTCTCTTTTCCTCGTGAGACTAAAGCAGGAACTCGTACTTCGAGTCATTTTCTGAGAGATGTTGTTATCATGACCTTGTCAACTCGAGGATATCATCGGCATTTATCCCTCTGCTGTCGTCTTCAAAAAAATGTAGCGAGACGACTGTATCCGATAGGGGCAGGATTGCCTACTGTATTGTTAGTTCGCGCGAGGTCGACGCATGCGCGAGGGCAGCTGTAGAAGTTCCATGATTAGAAGCGTCGGGGTGATATAACTGGCCTTGGGAATGCCCTTCACATCGACCAGTCATGCTACGGGTTGATGAAACATGGTGTTTGTTTTACATCAAAGACTGGGTTCGTAAAAATGGCTACCATAGGTAGCTCTTGATAACTACCCGGGCCATTGAAACCTTTTGTGGAAAAGACACGAGCCTATGAGAGAGAATACCCTCTGTAATATCCCGTGATAGGTTGTGCGATGCTCCGGAGCTCCTCACACCCATCGGAGAAATTGATTCGTGTCAGAACAATTGGTAGCGAATGGAATATGGCGGATGGACTGGAGGCGCGACAGGAGCAACTGCAACATTCGAACAAGGTCATCGTCCGCATTTAATTAGCGCCGCAGTTCCTCGTTCCTTGTTTCAATCTGAACATCCATCCCACAAGTAAGGATTCAAAAGAAAAATGGCCGAAGCACGGATGATAGTTGATTGGTGTACGTGTGGGTAGAGGCACAGCGACGAGAGCTCGGGATTTGATACTAATCGCGGAAAGGGGGGGGGGCTCGTTGGTTTATAGAAATCCCATGTCCATCCCTTCGTTTCGTTTCGGCTTCATGAATACTGGATGGAGTTGCTGGACAAATGGATGAAAATCACTCATATTCTCATCAAACCCAAGGGCGCGTGAGTGTGGAGGCACGTTTCGCAATAGACCACGCCAGGCCTGAGGCGAGATGGGGCACACATACTCCAACAAAGAGAGAGGTGGTCGGCTTCGACGTTACATTTTGGAGTCGAGAATGAGAAAAAAAAAAACCAAAAAAAGGCGTTGTTGAGATAGATATACGCGCGCCATGTATATAGATAAACACGAGTGCGAAAGTGAGAAAAAAAAAAAGGGAGAAAGAAAAGGAAAAAGAAAAAGAGATGCCCACTAGCGGAATCGAACCGCTGATCTTGTCATGACACCTAGAATGGTTTACTAGTGACACGCTATACCACTTAGCCAAGCGGGCATTATTATTTTCTCATCACGTGATGGGAGGGGGTTGTTGACAAAGCATTATAACCAGGGCTGATCATCTTTGCAGACTACACTAATGCCGCTACCTATACAGATCGTACAGTCTGTATGCCCAACTGCACGAAGGCGAGATGCATCACGGTGTAGTCGCCCGGGTTAGGTCGTATTGCTGTGCACATGAAGTCGCTACAATGCAGGTGAATGTTACAGCGCTGCAGGGGACTTCACATTGGAGAACAACAGCTTCTCACATTGCCAGAATCTGAACGATCCGAAATGATCGATCGTTAGCGAACAATTGTGAGAAAGGCGTTGGGTTCTTCGCAGTCGTGCTCAAACCTTAGTCGTTCAAACTGTAGGGAATTGATCACTTCATAAGACCGGTAAGGCCTGGGATATAAATATATCTCAAACATTGCCCGAATTGAAACTGTGTTGCTGATGATGGTGATGAGCGTTCATCCGTGAGAGCAGGAGGTATGGTACCTACTCCTGACCGGTTGATGAACAAGCGTTCGTGGGGCTGCAAGCGGCTAGCTAGGCATTTGAGCAACCAGAATTGTTACGCGCTGGCCCTCAACTGGCATCGCGTAAGAGAAGGGTACTGTGGTTCGCTACCAACATTGCTAGGTCTTTGACTCCTGTCTCAACCGTAGGCGCGCGCATCGAAGACGAGTTACCGGTAAGGTATATGTACGGCACGTATAACGTGTACGTGTACTTCTGGTTACGTGGTCGTTTAGCATGCACCATGTGAGGCAGATCGTACCTTGGCTCCGGCGGTCAGGGACATCGGTCATGGAGATAGCCGCCGTGGTTTGATGTCTTGAGTTGATATACGTCGATGCGGCGTCGTTGAGTTGCGTGGGTCACGAAGCGAGGGTGTACCCTGAGCAATGGTTGGTGGGGAAGGAGAGTTACGGAGAACTGGGCGCCACACGGAACAAAGACCAGTTGTGAGAAGGTGGGTCGGATCGAGGGTAATTATGGAGAGAATGCAGGTACAAGGCACGCGTACCGCCATAGCGCGGGCTAATCTGTCAGTCGGCGGACTGACAAAAAGGTACCTAGATACCTATGTAGGTACATACGTCTGTAGATAAGGTACCTACAGTCTGTAGCGCAGTGTAGCCCACGGAAGGTGCCACCATAACCCCATAAAGCCACCAAAAGTACTGGAAGGTACTTGCGAGAAACGCACCCTGCCAGGTCCACATTGCGCTCTGACCAACCCCACTGAGGATCTTCCCAGAGCCGTTACATCATGGGCTTCTCCTAGCCAATCAGCATCATCACCAGGGTTGGATTAGGCTTGGCTCCATCGGAAAAAACATCGTGTCCACGACTCCACACTTGTGTAACCTCTAGTATCTACCGGATTGCGGCTTCCTCAACCTCACGACACCAAATTGACGGTCAAAGCTCAAACGACGCGGGACTGACCTGTACACACATTATCCATCTTCTCCCCACGATCACTGCGACGTCTCAACATCCGAGCCGTAGGAACTCAGCGTGTGTCTCATCGAGTCCTCGTACATTCTAAATGTGTATTTATCCATGTTGCCTACCTGCCTACATAGTTCCAGAAAGATAAAGCCTTGAAAAGACCGACGTGATGTTGGCCTCCAAAGATGCCTGGCATTCGTTACATAGCGGGAGGCCTGACCTGCACCTCGAGACGCCATGATTCAGATTGATACGGCCCGAGAACCTGGAAGCGATGGGGGGGTCGACTCCCCCCGCCCCTTGTTGGATCTTGAGGTGTTTAGCTTTTGCCCCGCCTTCATCAAACGCGCTGTTATCTGTCGCCTGTCGCATCCAAATGGTACGCGATGGTACGCGATGGCTAGGGAGCTTATAAGGCAGGAAGGAGGTGTGAGAAGGTGTGCTAAAATGGCAAGACCGTTTGCCGCTAACGAGTGACCTCCACGTCCGTACCGGTACGGGTATACCTACGTATGTTCCGATTTACAAGTGCGCCGCCCACCCGCCCTTTATCTGGTCCCCTTCTTCCCTGTGCACACATCTTGTTCTTGGCACCTCGAACTCTCCCACCTACAACACCCGACGTTCGCGACGTTCACGACGTTCACGACTTTCACGACCCTCTACTCATTGTTACTGGGTTCGCGCCCTCGACTGACTCACCTTGACCCGCCTTTGGCCATTGTTTGGTTCGTTTGTTCTTTCGTCCAAAGGCTCTATTGTTCGGCTCTTGCATCGCGAGGCTTGGGCACAAAGAACCTACTTTTCTCAATTTCTATTCCTTTTCACTCAATCCGACCCTAGACGCCGGGCGTCGTTTTATACAAATACCTTTCTCTGTTTCCATCCCTTTTAACTGGGTGCGAGCCGCAAACAACTTGGGACTCTCGTCTTCCGCCAGCCCAACTTCCGACTCTTAAACCACTCTCCCTTACACGACCCGGGTTCCATCTACCTTCTCAACAACATCAATACTGGCAGGCCTAGTATTATTTTACACCCCCTTCTTTTTTCATTTTCTCTTCTCCTCCAACGTCGCGGTCTCGCCGGCGAGTCTAAGAGTCAATATCGACTTTTAATATTCCCCCCGTCTCTCTCTTACCTACAATCACGACAACGACAAGATGAGTCTCAAAAAGGGGGCCATCTTGGCCACTATCACGCTGTTTATTACGGCACCCACCGTCAACGGCCATACCTGGGTCGAGTACCTCTACCAGATCGGTCCTACCGGCGGATTCACTGGAGATGCGGGTTACCCTATCGGCTACGTTCCCCGTCAGGCGGGTGTATCCGATGATGTGCACCAGAACAAGATCCTGGACACCTCGACTAACCCACCTGTCTGCAAGCCGCTGTCGTCCAGCGATTTCACCAAATACCCTTCTCTGAATGCACCGGCTGGTAGCTACATTGCGATGCAGTATCAAGAGAACGGTCACGTCACTCAACCCGATCTGACCCTGCGACCTTATCGCGGCGGCAATGTCTACGTCTATGGCACCCTGGAGCACCAGGACTCTGACGGCATAAACGACGTCCTCAATGCATGGACTGCCGACGGCCAGGGCGGCAACAAGAAGGGCAAGCTACTGGCTACACACTATTTCGACGATGGCCAGTGCTTTCAAGATGCCCCTGGCAATCCGATTGCCACCGAGCGCAAAGCGAAGTACGGCGTCGACCAGCTCTTCTGTCAGACTGACCTCCAACTCCCCGCCGACCTGCCTACCCAAGGCACTTACACCTTGATGTGGGTTTGGGACTGGCCTAGAATTATCACCAACTCCCAGAACGTCACCGAAATCTACACCACTTGCGCACAGATCAACCTCAACGGAACCGCCAAGCAAGCCTCCGTCAAGTTTGCTGCAAACGACAACATCGCGAGTGCAGGTATATCATCGCAGCTGCACGAACTGATTGAGGCGACCACCCTTGGTATCGGTACCAACAGTCCTCCCGCCCCTACTAATCTTGGCGAGTCTACCAGCCAGTCCGCCACGACTACTTCCGCCCTTAGTACTACCACCCCCGTCAGTTCTGCCACTTCCGCCCCAACCACCCCCGCCGCCAGCATTTCCACCGGCAATAGCGGTATGAAGACTGTCACAGTCACTGCAGAGCCCCACACCGTTACTCAGTACAACACCGTCTTCGTTGGTGGCGGACCCGATAGCGCTAGTGAGTCTTCTACGGCTACCGAGACGGCTTCGATTCCTGTTGCCTCGACCCCCGCTATCTCGTTCCCGACTTCAATTGTCCCAGTCACTTCCGTTCAGGGATTTTTGAAGGCCCGTGCCGCCCGCGTTACCGGCCAAGCTCGACGAGCCTATTACTACTAAGGCATCATACCAAGCAAGGTATCACAGGGCCTTCCTTACCCCCCTCACGGATTGAACGCGAAACGACTTTTCTCTTTTCCTTTTCTGGCAGTACATATTCAATCACAGTCGACACAGTCGACAGTCACCTATCTTGAAGGGCTCAGGTAGCCCCTCCTCCGTCTCACTCACTCATTCTGTCTGGCATTTCTGCGGGCGGCTCGCATGAAAAAGGTTTCGGAGTTTGGTAGAGCAGGCGGCTATTCATGAAGACTAAAGTTGGAGGAGATACCCCCCTAATGTGGAAGGGAAATCATTTACTTTCAGGCGTTTTTTTCTTCTCTCGGACAACACACAAGCAATGAAGGGTTCATCCACGCACTTGCTACTATCTGTTATTCGATTTCGGCATAACGAGTTTCTTTTGCTATCCAAGATTCTCGCCTCCCCTCCCCCCTCTTTCTTTCTTACACACACATTACGACCCCGCGCGGAATCGGTATACCTTTCTCTGCTGAGATTTCTTAAAAGGGCCATGAAAGAAAAATACAGTTATGATGTATTTTCTTCGCGACAACATGGGTTTTCTTTTCTTTTCTTTTCTTGGGGAAGATGGGCTGGTTCTCCCCTTCTTTGAGTAGTCCTTACTTAACCATATCATCATCAATACATGATATGATTGTCTTTTGACTCTTCGGAAACAGAAGGGAAGAAAATACACACAAACGGAAGTGAATAGGTATGCACGGTTTAGGTGTACCCCTACTATGTAGCCGTAGCCGTAGCCGTAGCCGTGGCGTAACGCTCAAGGACAATCAAAATAAAGTGGACTTTCTCTTTGCTCAATTTTTTTACTAGTTTTTTTTTTTTGTAATTGTGAATTCGTGATGTTGTTCGTGAACTACCCTCTATAAGTTTATTGAGAAGACTTCTTGAACGATTGGGGGGGGGG